CATACGGAACTCACTCGTTCCGTTGTGCCTTATGCACTCTCTCTCTCTCTCTCGAGCCCAACCAGCAGCCGCACAGCGGCGCATGATATATAGGCAGAATGATATTACCGACAAATAAAAGGGAGACTAGAATGGCCAATTATGGCTTATTAGCCGTCGTCAGCCAGCCATATCCAAGCCCGAAGTGTGGAACACCCGAGCCTCGAACGCGAGACATGTTGGTTTAGAAGTTAACGACTTTACTCACCGGGCCACGAGCCCGTTGCCCTGTCGGTTTTCGATCTGGAAAATACAGTGATAGGGGGCGCTCACCGATCGTTCATACGGAACAGACTCGTTCCGTTGGGCCTTATGGACTCTCTCTCGTGCCCGAACCGCAGACGCGCAGCGGCGCATGATATATAGGCAGAATGATATTACCGACAAAGACAAGGGAGACTAGAATGGCCATTACTGGCTTATTAGCCGTCGTCAGCCAGCCATACCCAAGCCCGAATTGTGGAACACCCGAGCCTCGAACTCGCGACCCGTTGGTTTAGAAGTCAACGCCTCTACTCACCGGGCCACGAGCCCGTTGCCCTGTCGGTTTTCGATCGGGAATATACAATGTTAGGGGGCGCTCACCGATAGTTCATACGGAACACACTCGTTCCGTTGTGCCTTAAGGACTCTATCTCTCTCTCTCGAGCACAACCAGCAGCCGAACAGCGGCGCATGATATATAGGCAGAATGATATTACCGACAAATAAAAGGGAGACTAGAATGGCCAATTATGGCTTATTAGCCGTCGTCAGCCAGCCATATCCAAGCCCGAAGTGTGGATTACCCGGGCCTCGAACTCGCGACCTGTTGGTTTAGAAGTCAACGCCTCTAATCACCGGGCCACGAGCCCGTTGCCCTGTCGGTTTTCGATCGGGAATATACAATGTTAGGGGGCGCTCACCGATCGATCATACGGAACTCACACGTTCCGTTGTGCCTTCTGGACTCTCTCTCTCTCTCGAGCCCAACCAGCAGCCGCACAGCGGCGCATGATATATAGGCAGAATGATATTACCGACAAAGACAAGGGAGAATAGAATGGCCATTACTGGCCTATTAGCCGTCGTCAGCCAGCCATACATAAGCCCGAAGTGTGGAACACCCGAGCCTCGAACTCGCGACCCGTTGTTTAGAAGTCAACGCCTCTACTTACCGGGCCACGAGCCCGTTGCCCTGTCGGTTTTCGATCGGGAATATACAATGTTAGGGGGAGCTAACCGATCGTTTATACGGAACTCACACGTTCCGTTGTGCCTTCTGGACTCTCTCTCGGTCTCTCGAGCCCAACCAGCAGCCGCACAGCGGCGCATGATATATAGGCAGAATGATATTACCGACAAAGACAAGGGAGACTAGAATGGCCATTACTGGCTTATTAGCCGTCGTCAGCCAGCCATATTTAAGCCCGAAGTGTGGAACACCCGAGCCTCGAACTCGCGACCCGTTGGTTTAGAAGTCAACGCATCTACTCACCGGGCCACGAGCCCGTTGCCCTGTCGGTTTTCGATCGGGAATATACAATGTTAGGGGGCGCTCACCGATCGATCATACGGAACTCACTCGTTCCGATGTGCCTTTTGGACTCTCTCTCTCTCGAGCCCAACCAGCAGCCGCACAGCGGCGCATGATATATAGGCAGAATGATATTACCGACAAAGACAAGGGAGACTAGAATGGCCATTACTGGCTTATTAGCCGTCGTCAGCCAGCCATACCCAAGCCCGAATTGTGGAACACCCGAGCCTCGAACTCGCGACCCGTTGGTTTAGAAGTCAACGCCTCCATTCACCGGGCCACGAGCCCGTTGCCCTGTCGGTTTTCGATCGGGAATATACAATGTTAGGGGGCGCTCACCGATCGATCATACGGAACTCACACGTTCCGTTGTGCCTTATGCACTCTCTCTCTCTCTCTCGAGCCCAACCAGCAGCCGCACAGCGGCGCATGAGATATAGGCAGAATGATATTACCGACAAAGACAAGGGAGACTAGAATGGCCATTACTGGCTTATTAGTCGTCGTCAGCCAGCCATACCCAATCCTGAAGTGAGGAACATCCGAGCCGCGAACTCGCAACATGTTGGTTTAGAAGTCAACGCCTCTACTCACCGGGCCACGAGCCCGTTGCCCTGTCGGTTTTCGATCGGGAATATACAATGTTAGGGGGCGCTCACCGGTCGTTCATACGGAACTCACTCGTTCCGATGTGCCTTTTGGACTCTCTCTCCCTCGAGCCAAACCAGCAGCCGCACAGCGGCGCATGATATATAGGCAGAATGATATTACAGACAAATAAAAGGGAGACTAGAATGGCCATTACTGGCTTATTAGTCGTCGTAAGCCAGCCATACCCAAGCCTCAAGTGAGGAACATCCGAGACGCGAACTCGCAACATGTTGGTTTAGAAGTCAACGCCTCTACTCACCGGGCCACGAGCCCGTTGCCCTGTCGGTTTTCGATCGGGAATATACAATGTTAGGGGGCGCTAACCGATCGTTCATACGGAACTCACTCGTTCCGTTGTGCCTTATGGAATCTATATCTCTCTCTCGAGCACAACCAGCAGCCGCACAGCGGCGCATGATATATAGGCAGAATGATATTACAGACAAATAAAAGGGAGACTAGAATGGCCATTACTGGCTTATTAGCCGTCGTCTGCCAGCCATACCCAAGCCCGATTTGTGGAACACCCGAGCCTCGATTTAGCGACCCGTTGGTTTAGAAGTCAACGCCTCTTCTCACCGGGCCATGAGCCCGTTGCCCTGTCGGTTTTCGATCGGGAATATACAATGTTAGGGGGCGCTCACCGATCGTTCATACGGAACTCACTCGTTCCGATGTGCCTTTTGGACTCTCTCTCTCTCGAGCCCAACCAGCAGCCGCACAGCGGCGCATGATATATAGGCAGAGTGATATTACCGACAAAGACAAGGGAGACTAGAATGGCCAATTCCGGCTTATTAGCCGTCGTCAGCCAGCCATTCCCAAGCCCGTAGTTTGTGCCTATTGTTCATTCACCGCCTTGCGTCTGCTGGTTGGGCTCGTGAGACAGAGTGGGGGAGTCCATATGGCACAACGGAACGAGTGAGTTCCTTATGGACGATCGGTGAGCGCCCCCTAACATTGTATATTCCTGATCGAAAGCCGAAAGGGCAACGGGCTCGTGGCCTGGTGTGTAGAGGCGTTGACTTCCAAACCAACAGGTCGCGAGTTCGACGCTCGGGTGTTCCACACTTCGGGCTTAAGTATGGCTGGCTGACGACGGCTAATAAGCCAGTAATGGCCATTCTAGTCTCCCTTTTATTTGTCTGTAATATCATTCAGCCTATATCTCATGCGCCTCTGTGCGGCTGCTGGTTGGGCTCGAGAGAGAGAGAGAGAGTCCATAAGGCACAACGGAACGAGTGAGTTCCGTATGATCGATCGGTGAGCGCCCCCTAACATTGTATATTCCCGATCGAAAACCGACAGGGCAACGGGCTCGTGGCCCGGTGATTAGAGGCGTTGACTTCTAAACCAACAGGTCGCGAGTTCGAGGCCCGGGTAATCCACACTTCGGGCTTGGGTATGGCTGGCTGACGACGGCTAATAAGACAGTATTGGTTATTCTAGTCTCCCTTGACTTTGTCGGTAATATCATTCTGCCTATATATCATGCGCCGCTGTTCGGCTGCTGGTTGGGCTCGAGAGAGTGAGAGAGAGAGTGCATAAGGCACAACGGATCGAGTGAGTTCCGTATGAACGATCGGTGATCGCCCCCTAACATTGTATTTTCCCGATCGAAAACCGAAAGGGCAACGGGCTCGTGGCCCGGTGATTAGAGGCGTTGACTTCTTAACCAACAGGTCGTGTGTTCGAGGCTCTGGTGTTCCACACTTCGGGCTTAAGTATGGCTGGCCGACGACGTCTAATAAGCCAGAAATGGCCATTCTCGTCTCCCTTGTCTTTGTCGGTAATATCATTCTGCCTATACATCATGCGCCGCTGTGCGGCTGCTGGTTGGGCTCGAGACAGTGAGAGAGCGAGTGCATAAGGCACAACGGAACGAGTGAGTTCCGTATGAACGATCGGTGATCGCCCCCTAACATTGTATACTCCCGATCGAAAACCGACAGGGCATCGGGCTCGTGGCCCGGTGAGTAGAGGCGTTGATTTCTAAGCCAACATGTTGCGAGTTCGCGGCTCGGGTGTTCCACACTTCGGGCTTGGGTATGGCTGGCTGACAACGGCTAATAAGCCAGAAATGGCCATTCTAGTCTCCCTTGTCTTTGTCGGTACTATCATTCTGCCTATATATCATGCGCCGCTGTGGGGCTGCTGGTTGGGCTCGAGAGAGAGAGTGCGCATAATGCAGAACGGAGCGAGTGATTTCCGTATGAACGATCGGTTTGCGCCCCCTAACATTACACAAATTAATCCTCTGAATCGACAAAACTTGATATACCGAAAAGCATTGGTTATTTGTGAAAGTAGCGAGGCGGAAAACGAATCGGTAGTCCAGGAATAAGGAAACGATAATGTAAATTGTACGTAGCGGTGGGCGCGTCGACAGTCGTCAGCTCCAATCCACTTGACCCAAACTCTGAATAGGGGGGGCGGGAATTAAAAAAAGTCCGTTTAAAACAATCGGTCGTTACAACGCCCCCCTCTTTGTGTACAGCACTGTCCTCATTGCTGGCTGATTCGATGGGGGAAGAGACGGAGACCTCGATGTCTACCGGGGGAACTAGGTCTAAGGGGATGTCAGGTAGGGAATCGGAAGTGCAATTGTGTAGGCGTCCTGGTTAAGGTTTGAGTTTGGAAAAGTGTGCCGTAAAGGAGGGGAAATCAGTGTGGACGGCGTCGCGTAACAGGAATGTGGTGGGAGCGAGCACGTCGAGTACGGTAAACGGTCCTTGCCATGGGTGGTGGAGTTTAGCGGAGTTGCCATGTGGGGGTACGGGGTTGTAATTCATCACCAGGTCGCCAACTTGGTGTGGGGTGCCAGCGGTGCGGCGGTCAAACTGCTCTTTTTGGTGCTGGGTGGCCACTCCCAATGCGACGCGGGCAGCGTTATGAGCTGAGCGTATGACCCCTCGGAGGTGCTGGCGTACTCGTGTAATGTTGACGGGTCGGGTGTGGGTAGGGGGTAGCGAAGGTCGGCTGGGAGGCGTAGGTCACGGCCAGTCCAGAGGTAGTGAGGTGTGAACCCCGTGGAAGAATGTACTGTTCCGCGATAAGCTAGGAGGCACAGAGGTAAATGTGCGTCCCAGTCGTGTTCGTGCCCGTCCCGTGAAAATGCCAGTAAGAGGTCGTGCAGCGTGCGGTTGGTCCTTTCTACAAGGCCGTTGCCTTCGGGGTGGTACGGGGTAGTTCGGGTTTTGCGAATCTCTAGAATCTCGCAGACGTCTTGTAGGAGCTGGGACTGAAAATTAGCGCCGCAGTCGGAATGGAATGACAAGGGGGCGCCCCAACGGCTAATCCAAGTGCGGCTAATGGCATTTGCGACTGATGCCGCGTCCTGGCGGAGGAGTGGCACGGCTTCCACCCACTTGGTGAAATAGTCCACCTTGACTAATACGTACTCAAACCCGCGCACCGATATCGGAAAGGGTCCTACGATGTCCAGGCCGACACGCTCTCCCGGGAAGCCGGTAGTCATAAGTTGCAGCGGGGCACGAGGTGCGGTGGAGGGGGGTTTGAACGTAGCGCATGTGGCGCAGGACTGACAGAAGCGTTGTCCGGCCGAACGTAGTTGAGGCCACCAGAAGCGGCTGCGAGCAGCGAGTTCCGTGCGGCGTTGGCCGCTGTGCCCGAGCTGTGTGTGGAGGTCAGTGAGTACGGATTCTACCAAGCATCCAAGAACGACGGGTCGTAGCCGGTTGGAAGTGGGGTCACGGAGAAACAATATGTCATTCTCTTTGGTGAGGTAGGGCCACTGGTTGAGCAATAGGCGCGCGCTCTGGCTGGTGCCTCTCATTTCCCGCTCGGCAGGTTTGGGAAGCCCTAGACTCATGTGGCGGTAAATAGTGGCCGTGTCAGGGTCCGCTGTTTGCGCTGTTGCCCATTCGTGGCGTGTAGGCTCCGACACAACAATAGCGTTAACGCCGGCTGTCTGTACATCGGGGTCTGCGTCAGTGACGTGGGGAAAGCGGGAAAGGGCATCTGCGTTGCCATGCTTGTGGCCCGGGCGGTACTGGCATTCAAAGTCAAAATCCTGCATGAACTCCTGCCAGCGTGCCAGCTGGTCCATGGGGTCCTTGAAGGACCGCAGCCACTGCAGGGCCCTGTGGTCTGTGCGGAGAACGAAACGTCGTCCGACCAGCAGGTGTTTGAATTGACGTAGAAACACAACGATCGCCAGGAGTTCGCGGCGGAAGGTACAATAATTCCTCTGTGGTTTAATGAGGGTATTGCTTGCGAAGCAGATCGGGTGTTCTACTCCGTTCGCGTCGGCTTAAGAGAGTACGGCGCCGATGGCGTACCCACTGGCATCGGTGTCTAATATGAATGGGGGTGCGTCTTCGTCAACGTTTGGGAGGGCAAGTAGGGGAGCCGAGCACAGGGCGGCGCGGAGGTCAGTGAAAGCACGTGCACAGTCGTCAGACCAGACAAAGGGTCTGTCTTTCTCCGTGAGTTTGTGCAGGGGGTTGGCAATATGAGCAAAACCACGGATAAAACGGCGGTAATATGACGCTAACCCCAAGAAACTGCGTAATTCCGTTTGATTGGAGGGGGTTGGCCACGTGCGGATACATTGGATGCGGTCAGGGAGGGGAGAGATGCGCCCGCGGGAGATTAAGTGACCCAAAAAATTTACCTCGCGGCGTAAAAAAGGCACTTCGTGGGGTTAAGGGTCAGACCAGCGGAGCGGAGGGCTTCCAATACCGCGAGCAAATTGTGGTTGTGTTCGTCGATAGACCTCCCAAACACTATAATGTCATCGAGGTAGATGAGACACTTGTCTGGTACGAGGGGTTGGAGGACGCGATACATAAGACGTTGGAAAGTGGCGGCTGCATTGCACAGGCCAAACGGAAGGGTCTGGAACTCATACAGACCTTGGGGTACCGTGAATGCGGTTTTATGGCGGTCGTCTGGATGTATCTCAACCTGCCAATAACCGGATTTGAGGTCTAGTGTTGAGAACGATGCCGCATTTCCTAAGGCGTCTAGGGTGTCGTCTAACCGCGGAAGCGGGAAGGAATCACGAACTGTCACGGCGTTAAGGCGACGATAATCGACACACAGCCGGAAGGATCCGTCCTTCTTGGGGACGAGGGCTATGGGAGAAGTCCATGGGGACGACGAAGGCTGGATTATTTTGGCCTGCAGCAATTCATCTAACAGCTTGTTGACTTCACGGTAGCGCAATGGGATGCGGCGTGGGGGTTGCCACATGGGCTTGGCGTCTCCCGTGTCGATCGTGTGCTGAATCAAATGGGTGCGCCCGATGGTGTCGGTGGACCAGGCAAAAAGGTCTGGGAAGGAGTTCAGGAGGGTCTTAAGCTGCTCGTGCGCGACCGAACCGATTAGGGAGGGGGCGCGAAGAACGGTATCTGAGGGGGTGGGCTCTAGCGCTACGGCGGAAAGTACTGAGTTGTACATGATGTCGAGGTCGTCTATAGTGGCTGGAGGGGCGGGTACGGTGGTGTTTCGGCCGAGTGTGAGTTGTCGTTCGCGAACATGGACTACGCAATCGTGAGCCTCTAGGAAATCAAGACCGAGAACGATAGGCCAGGGGCCATCAGGGGTAACAAGAAACCTATGGGAGATACGCGCGTTTTCGATCATAAGCTGTAGCGAAACAGTGGCCGATACGGGTATCGCCGTGCCGTTGGCGGCGCGGAGGGAGCGGGGAGCCGGAAGTGGGTCCACGTGACGCAGTAGGTGATTGGGAAGCTTGTGGATGGTGACAAGCGACACATTTGCGCCCGTGTCTACTAACGCCCGAGTGGTGTGACTATCCACACGTACCGGCACAGTAAAAGCAGGGACAGAAAAAAAATCGTGAAAGTAAATAGCGTCAATGGGGGTGGACTCACAAGGTGGGTTGCGGCCGCAGTGGCGAGCTCGTGGTCCGAAAGCCGCGCAGTACTGGCAGCCAGGGTTGTGATCAGGGAATCGGACCGGCAAAGTGCTCCGTCTATGTGGGGCTTGGGACTCCGGTCGGGCTGGGGGTAAAGGGGGTCTCGGAGGGGGTTGGTGGGATCGGTGATATGTAAGATACAGACGGCACTGCCGCAAGGCGTCGTTCAAAGTACGCAGGGGGTGGAGGAGAACGGAGTCGGCGATCGTGCGATCGAAGAGGCCTGAAATGAAACGGTGGAGGATAAGGTCGTCCCGATCGGGGTGTGGTAAATTGGGGAAAGCCGCGGAGGCAAGTCGGGTGAGTTCCGTCGCAAAGTCGTCGAAAGATTGCCGGGGGGCCTGGCGTAACTTGGCAAATTGCTCTGCCGCGATGCCAGGCGCGTCAGGGGTGTCGAACAGCTGCACGACACAACGGCAGGCGACGGGGAAGGGAGTAGCTGGTGTAAGGCCGGCATCGAAGGCCCGTCGCCTGGCGGATGGCGAAAGGAAACGTAGTAAGAAGCAAGTATGTTGGTGGGGTGGGACGTCGGTCAAGAAAAGATCTAAGTCACGCAGCCAATCACGAATGTTGTGTCCGGGTTCGTAGGCGTCTGGGGCTAACAGGGGGCTGGGCGCTGATGTGTATAGACGGTCGGTGGGAGGGGCCACTGGGGGAGCGTGGGGAAAGGGTGGATCAACGAAAGGGTTCGTGGGCGAAGTAGCTGCAACCAATGTAGCGGCCGAGTAAGGAGGGGCTCTGGGAAACTCGGGGAGGCCTGAGGTTGAATGTGATGAGTTGTGGTCTTTTGTATGGGTAGCCAAGGAAAACTCCTCTAAACGTTGAGTTACTCCATCATACACACTAGCAAAGGAAAGAGGTGGAGTGGACATAATAGCGACAGATGAACTGGATATAGAAGTTTATTGGTAAAACGTTGGCGGCACGATAGAAAAATAAGTTTAGCGCGATCTATAATAAAGGAAAAAATAGTGGGTACAGACTACTAAACAACTTTGAAAATACAACTTAATCCTATGAATCGACAAAACGTGAAATAGGGAAAAAGATTGGTTAGTTGTGAAATAAACGAGACGGAAAACTAATCGGTAGTCCAGGAATACGGAAACGATAAGGAAAAGGGGACTTAGCGGAAGGCGCGTCGACAGGCGTCAGCTCCAATCCACGTGACCCAAACTCTGAAAAGGGAGGGCGGGAAGTAAAAAAGGTCCGTTTAAAACAATCGGTCGTTACATTGAGTTCCGGTCGACAAAAGCCCGCAACAGGTTGATCAATATCCCATAAGAAATTTCCAACAGGCCGTTCTCCTGTGGGTGGTAGGCGGTAGTGCAGCTCAACTGACTGCCTGTCTCGCATATACTTTTTTAAGAAATTGTGAATTTGAATACAGTCTGGGATGCATGTACCGGATGCTGCTGAGAGGGAACTCGAGGGGAACCACCGAGGGCCGTATCAGTCGCAGCTGCGACATGCAACGTCGTCGTCGTCGTTGTCAACGGCGGCGGCGGCGACAGCAGCAGGACTATCGACCAAAATCGTGTCTGGTCTTTTGGCATTTGCCTATGTCTTATGTACGTCATAACCATCTGTCGTACGCACTATACTAATATTTGTACTGCTTATTTGTGGAATTGACATTAGGGGGTTATTTCACAGCAGTTTACTGTCTATGACTCAAACGTTCCTTGAGATTTCGGGTATGACCCTATCAGTTCCTGTGTTGGATAATGTGTGCTATGTGTTCGGCATATAATATTTTGGGGAATTATTCGCCTGAATTATCTCTGGAGTTTGCCTAATAGGAACCACATATTGGGAACGATGGGGAATACACTGATAAGCGGGACCCCCGTAGATACCTCAAGTAACAGTAGCAGCTAGACAAATGTTGGGCAAATATCTGTTTGGGCCTTTTGGTAGCATCTACGTCGGAATTAGGATATACCCATTTGTAACACAAAATATTACTACAAGGATGGAAATTATGTGGTTATTCGATACTACTTGCTTGTCTTCGACTCAAATATTTATTGACATTTCCGGTCTAATCATATCCACACAT